ATATTATGTTTTGAGTTGAGATGATTCAGGTGTTGCTAATTTTCAGTCAATTAGAGAACCTGTTATATAATGGCTGTTATTTGATTTTCATACCTGAAGAAGGATCTTAATAGGTTTTTATCTATCTTAATGAATTTACAAAGGTGCTGCAGAATGGACTTTTTCATTTTTCTATATATTGGTGTTTTGGGTGTTCTCCATTGTCTGATTTGCATCTGAAGGATTAAGTTCCATGCTGGGTGTATGCTGCCCTGACCCATTTGTATATGTTGAATACATAAGTACAAAAGAAAGTAATATGTAAACAAATTTCAGTTATAATTAGCGTAATAAATAGTAAATGGGAGGTGCAGAGGGCATTAAATGATTTCAGCCAATCAGATTTAGGTTTACTACAGTCAGATGAGTTAAGCAGTTGGTTGCCAGGGATTTTTGCATTTTGTACATCCTTTTTACTCTTTGCGCTGATTTTGTTACTCTTCGTTACTCTTTGGACTGACTGGAATCCTGTTTTTTACCAATGCAGTAAGCTCTAGTCATTGCCATATTGAGTTGGCATACAGTATATTTATACGAGGATACTTAATCATTCTTTATTGTATTGCAGTGAGCAAAGATGGTTGTGTCAAAATCATGGACTTTGGTAAGACATTTTGAAGGTGTTCCAAAACTGGAAGACTTCAAGCTGATTGAGAAAGAGTTGCCACCACTTAACGATCGAGGTAATGGATCCTTATTCTTGTGAAAAACATGTCTTAAGGAAATGCATTGACACAAACAAGTAACAATGTACCTAAATTGTAAGTGTATGTCCTTTTTTAGACTACCTTTTGCTTCCTTGTAGATTACCCTAAAAGCCAAAACCTAGAGAACTCTGTTATGCATTTGGTGACCAAGCTGTTATGACAGGAGCCCAGACCTTTTTCTTTTCCACCTTCTTTTCCTTTACTGCTGGCCCATTACTAGGCAGGTTTCCTGATAAATAGTGAGGTGCAGGGGCTAGAAAGATAGACTGGAGGTCGTGACCATAGGAAAGCTTCTTTGCTATATGAATAACAGTACATCCTAGACTTTGCGGCTTCCAGGGCACTATAGAAGAAAGAATGGTTGCTATACAATATAAGTACAACTTTCCTAACTGTGTACCCACAGGTACACTTTTGAGCTTCAAATCCCAACTGTATGTTGTTCAAATATTCTGCATAACACTAATGTATTATGTTGTAGTTTGTAAAGGATATCACTACATTCACAGTAGCCCATATTTAAAGTGGTTCTAAAGGCTTTACATTTTTTTACCTTAATGCATTCCCTGCATTAAGGTACAAAAGTCCCAGTATTTGTAACCCCCCCCCGCCTTATCCCCCTAATGTATTTACCTGAGTCCTATCTCAATCCAGCACTGTGCCCATCTGCAGCAGATTTCTCCTCTTTTTGCTCAGAGGCAGCAGTGGGAGCCATTGGCTCCTGCTGCTGTCAGCCAAATTCTGTGAGCAGAAAGCGAGAGGTGGGGCTGAGCCACTCTGTGTGCGTCAATACAACACACACTCAGGATCAAGTCTGTAGGTGTGTTCCCAGAGTAAACCACTTTCTATGGGGCACACAAAGAAGAGGAGGAGCTGAGAGCACCAGTGGGGGACACCAAAAGAGGAGGTCCGGGGCTTCTTTGTGAAATACTATTGTACAGATCCGGTAAGTATAACATGTTTGTTATTTTAGAGCGGAAAAAAAGCCTTTACAACTGCTTTAATGTGACTGCTATGGTCATATTGCTACACAATGTTCCAGAGACAGGGAATGGAGAAACTGATCTGATTTGAAATCAGATGAACTCATATTCATGAAAAGGAGTGACCTATTTTTTGTGATTTTATGAAGACTGGTGCATTCAATAAATCAAAATGTTTTATTTGAATCTGTTATTGAATCTCACAGATCAATATATCATTCATCGGAATTCATGGGAAGAAGCATTTTTGCATTTGGGACAATTATGCAATTGCCAGATCAAAATAGATTTGGCCATTTCTGTAAATGCACATCCCTATCTGTGAATATCTGCCAGAGTACAATTTTTTTTTTTTTTTTCTTTCATTTTTAAAATTACATTTAGCAGCTGGCTGTACTATGAACTTGGCAGCTTTGCTGTTTGTACTCTTTGAAAAATGTAATACAATATTTAGTAAAAAAAAATATTTTTTTTAATGCATAACATTCCCTCCCCAAGATACCACTCTTACTAAATAGGCATTTGTCTGCACTATAGATGGCATCCACTTCCACTAAATTATTTCAAGCATAACAAAAACATAAAATCATAAGGTTTCTTTTTTTTTCTTCTGTTGAAAAAAAAAAAAATCATAATTGGAGGACCACAACCCTACTGAGATCAATATATCAGCTGGCACCAACACCAGAGAAAAAGGTTAAAATTTTTTTCAAAAGTAAACATTTGAAAAAGTTTACATATAAAGGAAAAACACCATAAAACCAGTACTTTATAGGTTTAGAGAATACAGTTCAGTAAGGAAGATGATCTAGGTTTTCAGAAAATGCAGGTAACAACTGATAAGAACATACTGTACCTATACCAACATAGAATACTCATATCTGCCAAAATGAATAAAGAAACTCCAGTTTCTACAGTATGTATTTTGTAGTAGCTTTTTGTTTGTGTTGCAACAAAATGCTAACAAGGGGTCCGGCTTTCACGTACTAAAAGTACTGCAAAATTATTGTAAGTCACTTGACATTTTGGATGCAGTATGTAGTGGGCTCAGTCTTTGCAGTCTTTGCTTTCCACGTGGAAGCAGTGGAAAGGCATGTATAAAGTGTCGTGTGTGAGTATATTTGTCAGGGGGCAATTGCTTTACTGATTGCCCCAGTTTCAAGACCCAACACTTTTACCTACAAATCTTCAACCTTTTCAAGGCAAAATATTTGAATAGGGCAGACCACAACATAATGTTGCAACCACAGCTTGGTGTGTTGACCCTAAACATTTTTAGAACCACTTTTTATGTCGGTATACAATAGTTTTTTTTGGAAAAGCATCACTGTCCAGTTGAAGACATACAATTTTACCCAGAATAAGCTACAAAGTGAAGTTCCTTAAAACAAACCTGCTGTACAAGACAACTTGTAGGAGCCTATTTATAAAAGTAGGGACACATCTATAAACATTTTCCTGCCTGGATTTGCTGCATAATCATTGGCAACATCCCTGGATTGTAAAAACCAGGAAAAATTGTGTTACAAAATTTGTATATGGCAAATGTTAGCAATAATAGAAATTGTTAGTGTGATGAATCTACGGTGAAGTGTAGCAAAGGTCCAAGATCCTCGTCTAAGCAATCTCTTATTATTTCCCCAAAACAGATATGCATTAAAATAGTAGGGTTCAGTATATCAGATTGGGTGAACATAGATCTGCAAATGAACAGTTAAAGTGCAAATCTTTATAAATATAAACAATGACATTATCCTTCTGAAAAAGATGAATAGGATTTACCTCCTACTGCAACACATCTGGGTTGATTTTACGAAGACCTCTTGCACACAGATGGCCGGGGGGGGGGGGGGGGGGGGTGACAAAATCAGGTAGTTGATCTGCATTTTTACAGCCCACCTCCACCCACCTACAGCTACTGCTTGCTGAGACTGACTGCCTATTGAGGACATAGGCTCTGCACCCTGATCTGAGCCAAAGGCCTGACTCTGCCAGATTGCAAAACAAAATTCCCCATGGGGTTAAAAAAAAACTCATTCAGGAGGCAGAAGAAACACCTCATTTGTATCGGGAAGCCACTGCCTTCCTTCGAAATTTTCAGGGGTGGTAAATAGAGATGAGCGAATTATTCAAAAATTCGGTTCGGCTGATTCGCCGAATAAATTCGCTTCGAGCCGAATATATTCGCTGCGAAATTAACTTATAAAAAGGGTGTTTCTAGGCTTCAGAGAGCCTTTATATTAGTGCAGAACACTGTACCTTTAATTTAAATGCCCTTGGAGTCTGCTGGGGAAGAGAAATAATACTGTCAGTCAGTATGACATGCAGATGAGTGCCGTCGATCTTAGAATCACCGCACACTTCACTCATTTGGGCAGTCACGGGGACAAAACCAGAGTGTGGAGCCACAGTGTGGCGGTGGAGGCAGCAGCAATGGGAGGCCATACAGCACCCTATGACAAAATGGAACCCACCAGCAGTGTGAGGAGACCTGAAAGTGGCACATGGCAGAGTGTGGCGATGGAGACAGCAGCAATGGGAGGCCGTACAGGGACCCATGACACACTCTGGACCTGGCAGCAGCATGAGGAGGTGGTACAGGGGCCCATGACAGATTACGGGCCTGGCAGCAGCATGAGGGCACGGGGCCCATGGCATGATTAGGCCTGGGCAGCATGAGGAGGCGGTACAGGGGCCCATGGCAGAGTGGCGGAGCGTAAGCAGCTAAAATTGAAGGCCATACAGAGGCCTATGTTAAAAAGTCCCCCCAGCAGCAGCGTGGGGAGACGACTATCAAGAGTCCAATGGCAGAGTGGCGGAGCAGAAGCAGCTTCAATTGAAGGCCATACACAGGCCTAGGTTTAAAAGTCCCTCACAGTTAATTCCAATAACGAACTCTACTCCTCCGTGCAATCTACTTACGAGACCCTGGGCAGGTCTGGGTCCAATTTGTGATAGAGACTGGTTTTGTTCAGCCATGCTTGAGCGAGTAATAACAGGTCTGTGCTGCCCTTTGGTGTCTGGCTTAATGCGCACAACACTGAACGTCCCAGCGTTTGTCAACGATTTGCCGTTTAAGTGATGCAAACCCGCTGAACCACGTTCATGAGGAGCCGGTACAGGGGGCCATGAATCAGTATGGACCTGGCAGCAGCGTGAGCAGACGACAGAGGCACATGGCGCAGGGTGGCGGTGTAGGCAGCATTATTCGGAAGCCATACACAGGCCTAGGTTAAAAAGCGGAAGCCGTCAGCAGCGTGAGCAGACGACAGAGGCACATGGCGCAGGGTGGCGGTGGAGGCAGCAGCAATGGAAGGCCATACAGCACCCGATCACAAAATGGAACCCACCAACAGTGTAAGGAGACCTGAAAGTGGCACATGGCAGAGTCTGGCGATGGAGACAGCAGCAATGGGAGGCCGTACAGGGACCCATGACACACTCTGGACCTGGCAGCAGCAAGAGGAGGCGGTACAGGGCCCATGGCAGAGTGGCGAAGCGTAAGCAGCTTAAATTGAAGGCCATACAGAGGCCTATGTTAAAAAGTCCCCCCAGCAGCAGTGTGGGGAGACGACTATCAAGAGTCCAATGGCTGAGTGGCGATCCGGGAAGTCAGCGTTGTGATTGCAGATGCAATGCAGAGATTCTATGAGGTGATGCCGTGGGTGCGAAGAAGATCATATACCGTCGTACTTCCATCCATAAGACGGAACAACCTGCGAACCGGGAGCTTTATTGCCCTGACCTGCTGAGCAGCTTCTGGGATACCCAAGAGTCCAATGGCAGAGTGACGGAGCGGAAGCAGCTTCAATTGAAGGCCATACACAGGCCTAGGTTAAAAAGTCCCCCCAGCAGCAGTGTGGGGAGACGACTATCAAGAGTCCAATGGCTGAGTGGCGATCCGGGAAGTCAGCGCTGTGATTGCAGATGCAATGCAGAAATTTTATGAGGTAATGCCGTGGGTGCGAAGAAGATCATATACCGTCGTACTTCCATCCATAAGACGGAACAACCTGCGAACCGGGAGCTTTATTGCCCTGACCCGCTGAGCAGCTTCTGGGATACCCAAGAGTTTGGCTTCTGTGGGGAATATGGTTGAAAACTGAAACTTAAAGGCATGTTGACGGAAGGGCACCAGTGTCAGTGCTCCGGAGGGAATATAGCTTCAAAGCTGACACTTAAAGGTATATCGACGGTCAGAGACCACAGGAAGTGGAGCTTGCGTCTTAAATCGACTGAATGTGGCAGACGTGAAACGTCTACGGGCCGTATATGAAATGGGTTGTTCCTCTTTCTGGAATAAGTGTTGGAAATGGCCACTCTTTTTGGTGTGGCGTTTTGTCTATTTAATTCCGATAACGGACTCTACTCCTCCGTGCAATCTAGTTACGAGACCCTGGGCAGGTCTGGGTCCAATTTGTGGTAGAGACTGGTTTTGTTCAGCCATGCTTGAGCGAGTAATAACAGGTCTGTGCTGCCCTTTGGTGTCTGGCTTAATGCGCACAACACTGAACGTCCCAGCATTTGTCAACGATTTGCCGTTAAGTGATGCAAACCCGCTGAACCACGTTCATGAGGAGCCGGTACAGGGGGCCATGAATCAGTATGGACCTGGCAGCAGTGTGAGGAGACCCGAAAGTGGCACATGGCGCAGGGTGGCGGTGGAGGCAGCAGTATTCGGAAGCCATACACAGGCCTAGGTTTAAAACTGGAACCCAGCAGCATGAGCAGACGACAAATACGCACATGGCAGAGGATGGATCTGGCAGCAGTATGAGAAGGCGGTACAGGGGCCCGTGGCACAGTGTGGTGATGGGGGCTACAGCAACTGGATGCCAGAAAGTGGCCGATAGGGCTATATACTGCATGGAATTAAAGTTGTAAAGACAGCGGCCTATAAGGCTATACACACTATAACTAGAGATGAGCGAATCGAAGTAGGCGAAGTGGAATTCGAGTCGAATATTGGAAAATCCGAAAAATAGCCTACTTCGGACGCGCGAATCAAAATTTTTCCTAAAATGGCGGCGGACATGTGCGGCGACGGAGCGGGGATGTCTGGGAAGGCGCGCAGACCCATAATGCATTCCTTAATGACATGTGATCGCATTAGCCAATCAGCAGCCAGCAGCCAGCACTGTGTAATGGTCGAGCTATAAATAGCGGCCATTTTAGAATTCTTCATTTGCCTCCAGTCATTGAACAGAGGCAGACCGCTCTGTATTAGGGACAGAGTTAGGGCCACAGAAACGTTACTTGGGGACAGAGAAACGTTACTTAGGGACAGAGAAGCATTACTCAGGGACACAGAATTGTTAATGAGGGCCACAGAATCGTTACTTAGGGCCAAAGAAACGCTAGTTAGGGCCACAGAATTGTTACTCAGGGACAGACAGAATTGTTACTGAGTGCCAGAGAATTGTTACTTAGGGCCACAGAATTGTTACTTAGGGCCACAGAATTGTTACTTAGGGCCACAGAATTGTTACTTAGGGCCACAGAATTGTTACTTAGGGCCACAGTAACAATTCTGTGTCCCTGAGTAAACAATTCTTCTGTGGCCCCTGAGTAACAATTCTGTGGCCCTTAACTCTGGGCCTCAGTAACAATTCTGTCTGTCCCTGAGTAACGTTTCTGAGGGCCACTAATAACGTTACTTAGGGCCACAGAAACGTTCTTAGGGCCACAGTAATTGTTACTGGGACCACAGAACGTTACTGAGGGCCACAGAATTGTTACTTAGGGCCACAGAAACGTTAGGGCCACAGAATTGTTACTCAGGGACACTTACACAGAATTGTTACTCAGGGAGGGCCACAGAATTGTTACTTAGGGCCACAGAATTGTTACTCAGGGCCACAGAATTGTTACTGAGGGCCACAGAAACCGTTACTTAGGGCCACAGAATTGTTACTTAGGGCCACAGAATTGTTACTTAGGGCCACAGAATTGTTACTTAGGGCCACAGAATTGTTACTGAGGGCCACAGAAATTGTTACTGAGGGCCACAGAATTGTTACTGAGGGCCACAGAATTGTTACTGAGGGCCACAGAATTGTTACTCAGGGCAGACACAGAATTGTTACTCAGGGACAGACACAGGCCAGGGACAGACACAGAATTGTTACTCAGGGACAGACACAGAATTGTTACTCAGGGACAGACACAGAATTGTTACTCAGGGACACAGAATCGTTGAATTAAAGAGTATGTCAGACAACATGCAGAGGAGTGGCAGAGGAGGCAATGTTTTAGGAGCGAGCAGACGTGGCAGCAGAGGAAGGGGTCGAGGCAGCACTATTCGCAGCCAGAGGCCAGTGCTCCGGTGTCATCCAGAGGTCGTGTCTCCACCGACAACCTTGCCGTCGTCGATTGGTTGGCTCGGTCGTCTTCCTCTTCCCAGGTCACCTCTGACACCTACAGCCAACGGTCGGTGGGTACGTCAGACACAACCGTTAGTTGGCATGGCCCGGGACCAAGCCCACTGAAATCCCGTGTCCTCTACCTGCCCCTGTCCTTTGGTGTTCCCTCACCAAGCGAAGTATCGCATGCTGTGGGCTCAGCCCCACTGTACAGTGAGGAAGAGCTAACAGAGGGCGGTCAGGAACGGGGGGAGACATCCGCCTTTTCAGCAGCCAGGCGAAGAAGTAGTGGCGAGGAGAGTGGCTCGGTAGCCGGTCTAGAGACAGGTCTGTCTCCTGACCCAGACGCAGCCGAGGGGGCTAGTAGTGAGGCGGAGACCCTACTTGATGATGAGGAGGTTGATCGCACTTGGCAGCCTCGTCGTCATCAGGCAATTTCTTCCGCATCATCAGGAGAAATGGGTGGCAGCTTGGCAGCGAGCGAAACAGTCGGTGGGTTGCCCAGGAGGCAGCAGGGTCGCAGCAGTGTCAGTGGAGCCAAACGGCCATGGAGTAGAGCACCAGCTCCACTGCAGCCTACCACCACGGCCAGTAGTGGTGCCGGTGTGCACGGAGGAAGCAGCAGTCAGCCAGTGAGGAGTATCGGGGGCAAAGTTTCCTACTCGGCGGTGTGGCAATTTTTTGTCAAGCCGCCCGAGGAAGTAAACGTAGCCGTATGTCGACTATGTGGCCAGAAAGTCAAGCGTGGCCAGGGGGCCCATGTTGGGACTACAGCGTTGCGGCAGCATATGCAGCGTCGCCATTTGGTGGCCTGGGAAAACCGTGATAAAAGATACGGCGGCGGTTCTGCCCGCCCCAGCCCCCGCTCCATCACCCGCTCCGTTACTTGCTCCGTCACCCGACGTCAATCGCCCTCTATCAGCCAGTCAAGGCTCCAACACCTCTGCTGAGGGGAGTTGTCGCTCGTTGCCATCTTCCGCTCGTTCAGATGCTCCTTCTCCTGCTACTCCCTCTTCACGGATTCCGTCAGCAGTATTCTTGGAATCCGTTTCCAAGAGACAACAGTTTGCGAGCACGCACCCGACGGTGCAAAAGCTGAACGTCCTCCTGTCCAAGTTGCTGGTGCTGCAGTCCCTCCCTTTCCAAGTGGTGGACTCAGCACCTTTCCGAGAAATGATGGCTTGTGCCGCGCCGCGGTGGAGAGTGCCAAGCCGTCATTTCTTCGCCAAAAAGGCAGTGCCAGCCCTGCATTCACATGTAGAAGAGATGGTGGGCCAGTCTTTAAGCATGTCGATCTCTGCCAAAGTGCACGGCAGCGCCGACGTGTGGAGCTGTAACTACGGTCAGGGACAGTACATGTCATTTACGGCCCACTGGGTGAACGTGGTGCCGTCACAGCCGCACCAGCAACTTGGACAGGTCACGCCGCTTTTGCCTCCACGTTTGCACGTCCTTGGTCCACAAAACATGTCCGCCTCTACCACCACTTCTTCCTTCGTGTCCTCAGCCGCCACCCCCGTGCCAAGTCCCATTACCCGACCGGCATATCACATGTGCAGGGCGCAACGGTGTCACGCTGTGCTGCACCTGGTATGCCTTGGCGAACGTAGTCACACAGGGGAGGAACTTCTCAGTGTAATGAACAGAGAAATCGACAGATGGCTGTCTCTGCGCAAACGCAAAATCGGAACCATGTTGACCGACAACCGAAAGAACATGGTGTCTGCTCTGCGTCAAGGAAGGTTGTGCCATGCGCCATGCATGGCTCACGTGTTCAATCTGGTTGTCAAGCGGTTCCTAAAATCCACCATCCCACTGCAAGACATCCTTAAAATGTCACGTAAACTTTGCATGCATTTCAGCCATTCCTACACCGCAAAGCACACCCTCCTTGAGCTGCAGCGGCGGAACGGAATTCCACAGCATCGCCTGATCTGCGACGTTGCAACAAGGTGGAATTCAACCCTACACATGTTAGACCGCCTTTACGAACAGCGAAAGGCCATCACCGATTTTTCCTGATGTTACAAGCGGATAAAGGTACTCCCCTGTGTAACTTCGATGTCAGCCATTGGCAGCTCATGCGTGACACCTGCCGCTTGCTCAGGCCCTTTGAGGAGGCCACGCTATTCGTGAGTCGGCAGGACTATGGGATGAACGACGTCATTCCTCTGTTGCACGTCCTGGAACAAATGCTGTTAACAATGGCTGGTCAGGTCAGGGTGCGGTAGACGTGGCGCACAGATCTCAACGCCACATGACCCCTGTGGGGGCAGGACAGGAAGAAGAGGAGGAGGTAGAGGAGGACATTTGTGCTCAGGAATTATTGAGTGAAATGGGTGGTTTTTCCACTCAGCGGACAGGAGTGGAGGAGCAGGAGCATGTGGTAGAGGAGGAGGAGGAGGAGGAGACAGAGGACCCAGACGCACCGTGGCAGTATGCTGTGGAGATGGAGGCAGGGAGTCCCTCGCATTCCTTGGCACAAATGGCCCATAACATGCTCGGTTGCTTGCGTAGCACAGCCGAATAATAACCATCAGACAGAGGGATGACTTTTGGCTGTCCACCTTGTTGGACCCTCGCTACCGTTCAAAAATGGTGGCCTTTTACACACCTGCTGAGAGGGAGGCCAAAATAACGTACTATAAAAACCACCTATGTAGTCATTTGGTCTCTGCCTTTGTGCGCCAACGTCCATCCTCAGACACTGTGGGCCCTGTGCGCTCGCGTTCCGCTGCCATGGCAGCAGGGGAGGGGTGGGGTGGTAGGAGCAGTGGTAGCTCCACCAGCAGCGGCTGCCTCAGTCTGCAGTCGATGATGAGTAGCTTTCTTCACCAGCGCAGTGAGGAAACTACTAACCAGCCGCAGCAGCAGCAGGTGGACCTGGAGCAGGACCTCAAACAACAGGCTTGGGCCTACTTGGACAGCACCCTGCCAACCGAGGTAGACAATCCCCTTGACTACTGGGCAACGAAACTTGACCTTTGGCCACAACTAGCTGAATTTGCCCTTGAAAGGCTGTCATGCCCGGCCAGTAGCGTGGCATCGGAGCGCGTGTTTAGTGCGGCAGGAGGTATTGTAACTCCGCGGAGGACACGACTGTCCACCCAAAGTGTGGAGAGACTCACGTTTGTGATAATGAATCAGGCGTGGATTAGTCTGGATTTCAAACCACCAGTTCCTGACACAACTGATTAAATCCGCCATGAATCATGCCCCTGCCATGTGCCACTTTCAGGTCTCCTCACACTGCTGGTGTGTTCATTTTTTGTCATAGGGTGCTGGCAGATTACGGGCCTCCCATAGCTGCTGCCAGGCCCCTAATCTGCCATGGGCCCCTGTACCGCCTCCTCATGCTGCTGCCA